TGAAGAGGAATGGTGCCTGCTTAAAATTAGGCATAGTTTTAAAGTTCAGCTCATATTAGTTGGTAGCCACTGGTCAAAATAAGGCATTTTACCTCCAGACTCACTTCATAAAAGAACTCTAGAGAATTAATATTGCTGTGGTTCTAACTAGTAACTGGGCCTAACAATCCTCTTTTGTTCCACAGGGACATTATCCTCTGTAAAGTGATGCACTGTCAAGTGAGTCTAGCATATCCTCTTGTCCAAGCTTTGGAATGGTAGTCAAGACTGCTTACCATTAGCCAGATTTGCCCTTCTTACTTTGTAGGTCAAATTTAGGAATTAAAGCATTCAGTAAATAATAGGGTTCTTTGATAATCATATACAAGACAGTGAAAGATTTTACATTTGTTTCCTTAACCATGTTCTGGGGAAGAAGATCATTGTGACACTGAAATCTGTGAAAAAGTTTCCAGGTCATATTTCAAGCTTCATAAAATCCAATTTCCTTTGGGAGAAAGGGCTGGGGAGAAATTTTTTAGAGGCAAACTGATCTTGGGTCAGTTTTGTGCAAAAACTAAAACCAGCAGTAGGACTTAAGTGTGAAGTCAGTATCTTATTTCACTTGTAAAGTTCATGAAACTAAAACATGTATTATAAAGTATGAGAAAATAATTATGCCATAAAGGTAAAAATGTGCAATCAATCACATAACTTACTGGCACCGCTGAGGAAGGTGAGACTGGCAGCCAAAGCACAGAGAGCATGGTAAGTCAGTGCATGAAGTCAGGAGACTGTTTCTCCCATGGCATCTGAGTTTCTGTGTCACATTGAGCTCTGGGAGGAAAGCCAGGAAGATTTTCTCAAAGGGAAAGGGAACACAGGAAGGCACCCAGCTTCTGGTTCCCTTTGAAAATCAACCGTAATTGCAGAAAACTCTTATGAAAGAAGGAGAAGTAAAAGACACTTTGTGGTGGTTGAACACAGAGCCTTCACACCTTCCTCCTGCGTTACTCTGGCAGCAACAAAAGCAAAGCCTGAGCAGCAATTTCCAGTGAGGAACTTAAAAAGACTGGATCACTGCAGGCCTCTCACTAAATAAGTCACTATTGTAAAAGGTTGCTTATCCTATCTACCAGGATTTTTGTGAAGCATGCACACAAATCTCTGTTCTGCAAGAGCAAAGGCCTCAATTGCTCCCAACTGCTGTGTCCCAACAGTTTTTTCAGCTGTGCAACCCATCAAGGACCAATATTAGCCCTTGGATACTGGAAAAACAGGTTAATTTACCCCACCCAACTGGGTAATTTCTCCTCTGCATACTTTTTAGAAGTGAAATATGTGATAAGTCAAACTAATTCATGTACAATTTCCTCATGAATTAGAGCCTCTGGCTTCTGCAGTCATTCCTCTGCAAATGCCTCAAAGGATTATCCTTGATTCAATATTTTGAACAAATAAACACCTACAAACGGGAATACATAGTTCAGGTTTTAATTAAAAGGCCTTTTTTTTGGATGGCAGTAGGTGATTTATTATAATAAGCACATTCTCCCTTGAAAGCTTGTCTAAAATTTTCCTTTTTTCTCTCTTTTTTTCTTTTGCTGCTCTACAAGTTGTTCTGCCTTGATGGGAGAATTTGAGAGTCTACATAACAAAGGATGAAAGAGAGAGAGGGACAGTGGCTGTTAATATCCAGTTGCAAACAGAATTGTCATTTCCTACATTGGTTGAAAAAAACTTTTATTAGGGTACCTGAAAAGAGGTACAGACTATTACATATCTGCCTACAGTAAAGCTAGAGTGCATCCTTTTTTAACCCCAGCTGCAACTAAATATCACACAGCTGCTTTCTCACTCCTTCCCCTGCCCCTTACCCAGCAGGGAGGAGAATTGGAAAAAAAGATAAACCTTATGGGTTGACATAAGAACAGCTTAATAATTGAAACAGAGAATATATAAAAATAATTCTGATGATAATATTATCAATACTGATAATTGTAATGAAAAGGGGAGCGAGCAAGAGAGAGAGGAATAAAATCCAAGAGAACCAAGTGATGCACTATACAATTGCTCACCGCCCACTGACCAATGGCCAGTCTGTTCCTGAGCAGTGATCAGTGGCTCCTGGCTGGCTCCACCGAATTTATATACTGGGCATGACGCTGTATGGTATGGAATATCCTTTTGGCCAGTTCCTGTCAACTGTCCTGGCCATGCTCCCTCCCAGCTTCTTGTGCACCTGCTCACTGGGAATGGGAAACCTAGCATGGGAAACTGAAAAATCCTTGATTTAGAATAAGCACTACTTAGCAACAACTAAACATCAGTCTGTTATCAACATTATTCTCATACTGAATTGAAAACACAGCACTGTACCAGCTACTGAGAAGAAAATGGCCTCTCTCCCAGCTGAAACCAGGACAATCCTACTGATAGATTTGCTGCTGAGCATTTTTTTGGGGGCAAGATTGGCTACAGATCACATTAACTAAGAGAATTCTACCATTTCTAGATCCTTATATATCTATCACTACTTGTCTGGTAATCCTTCAGATGGGAATCACTGTCTCTAAGAAAGCTCTTCATGTTTGTGGCTATTCTGTCAAGATGAAAATGGAGAAGCACCTTGGAAGCCATAGAATTAATGAACATATTTATTGCCTTTGCCAGGATGCAGCCGAAGGCATGAGATTAGCTGAGGCTTCTCCTACTCCTCTCTCTCTCTCAAGCAATAAAGCAATTCCACTCCTTTTAATGTGTGCACACAGGGTATGACTGTCAGGCTGGCACTCCGCTGGCAGCTTACATGCTCTCCAAAGCAATACGGCTGCTCATTCGGTCTATATTTGCCAGTTATTAATTTTGAGCAGCCATTTCAGTCTCATATCATGGGGCAAAGCTGGAGAGAAAGACAGCTCTCATTAAGCAAAATCATAGATTTTTAATGCCAGTCACGATCATCTGTTTTCGCCCTTTGCACAAAATCTTGGGCAGAGTTCCAGTCCACCTTTGTTGTGTCATACCTCCTTTATCTGCTTTAGAAAAGGACAAACTCCCTCCCACACTCTCTTCTTCCCAGTCTAAGCAACCCTCACTTTTGCCAGCCCCCTAGATTTCTTTCATTGGAATTGCTGCAAAAGCTTTTGCCAGAGTTGCATTGTGTGGGTGCTGGGAGCCATGCTGGGACAGTGCTGGTGCATGACAGCAGCAGGTGTGTCCCTCCCAAATCCCAGCTCTGTCCCAGTGCTGCAAGCCCGTATGGGAAAACACCTCATCGCCATGCACACTGTGAAGGCTTGTGCCATCCCTTGCAACATGCCCTTTGAAATCAAGGCCAACTAGGTCTGAAGCTGACCTTTAGTGGGAAGTGGTTGGCCACCTGGCTATTTCTGTTAATACCCAATGGAAACAGAAACCAGGCAAATGAAATACCTGTGGGGTTTCACAAGCCTGGAAAAAAAAATCTAGTCTTGGCAAAGCCAGTCATTAGCCAAGACTTCTTTCCTGTCATGGCAGCTTCACAGTGGCTTGCTTGCATCCTTCCCCAGTGTTCTTAGATGGTCTGTCTGCATCACTTGGTGGGATAATCCCTTCCTTATCTTCCCTTGGACCTCAGGTTGTTAACAACCCAGTCCTCCCTTTCAAAGTCTTACATATTGTGCCTACTTCCCTCCTAAGCTGTAAATCCACATAATCTCTTTCCAGAGTTTATACCCCAGGAACTTGAATTCTTTCATGTATTGCAATGACCATTTTCTAAATCTCACCATAAAGAATTTGATCACACAATACAGGTATAGGAAAGAAAAAATGCTAAGCAGCAATTGAATACCAAGGAAATCTAATATTTCATTAATGAGAGCTGCTGAGCAGCTACCAATTTGCCTCTGCCTCCTGGCAGGAAAAAGGTCAAAACAAGGACATTTTTCATTCTTTCACTTCAATATTGAGCACCCTCAAAATCGTGGTATTTCTCAGATATTCTCAGATTTTTCTGCTTCTCTGATGTCTCTTAATTTTTTAATTTTTTTTTTATTTTCATTTACTGCATATCTGTAAAGAAAGGAAATAAGAGAGATATTACATGAGAGTTTGAGACATCTCTTTGCTTATGGCCCAGGTATAAAGCCCATTCAGTTGGCCACATTGGCTCAAACAAAAAGACCACTCAAACAATACCCAGTAGCAGATACTGAAGGACAATATAGAAGAAAAGGCCCATGCAACATGAAGAGTGTGTCCTTCAACCTATCGATAGGTCTCCAAACTTCAAGAAAAATGTTGAGGATTTATTTTTGTTATGGTAAACAATAGTTCTTGATGGATCTTTTTTCACACATACAGAGAAATAATGTTTAGACAAACAGCATTTAATGATTTAACTCACCAATATTTTTCACATATGAAGCATCTTGTGAAAGTGAGTTCCATAGTTGAAATATACATTGTCTGTAAAAGCATATCCTCCTGTCTCACCTAACTGCTGTCCTTGGTAATTTCACTTGGATTCTCTTGGCTTGTATCTTTAAAAATGTGACTAAAACCAGTCTTCATCTCCACTGCAACTCTGTTCCCCTTTGCCGTACATTTTCTAAGCTGAAGAGTCCTCACCTGTTTAACTGCTCTTTGCAGAGTCCATTACACACATTTCTCCATGGCTCATCTAGTTCTGAGTTGACCAAATTGGCATGTAACGTGACAAATACAGGCACAGCATGCTCAATGGCACTTTCATTGCCTTCCTAATAACTGCCAAACCTTTGCAGCCATGACCTCTGACTTGCAGAGCTGATACTGTCCCTGAGCTGACCATGGAGGTTTTAACACTTCTGTCCCAAGCACAGCTGGTGTGTGTACTGCTGTCTGGTTTTCTCCCTGCGTGTTACTTTGTGTGTGTTGATAAGGAATTTTATGGGTCGCTTTTCAAAGTACTCAATATTTTGAGATCCTTTTGCAATTATTTATGATCCTTAATTTTTATTACCCCAAATGATTTTGTACCATTGGTAAGTTTTGCACATACATTCACCTCCCTTTCTTGAGACATCTGGAAATACAGTAATTTTCTTCCACTTTGAAAACTGGTCATGTCCTTTGTTTCCTGTAACAAACAGTTATTGATCCATAGGAATAGCTTCTTTTATATCCCACAACACTTCTCTAAAGCTCTTTGAGACTGAAAAGCACAGTGGCTCATTCAGTTCTAACCCCATGCCTTAACTCTTTCAGAGAGACATGGTTTTTCTCAACTCTTCTTAAAGACACTGTGCATATCCCCCTTTCCAGCTGAGATTAGTTACCTTTATCCTACCTCCAGCCAACAGCTTGGTACAGAGTACCAGGGTGACCCCTTCCTGCATCGTAATGGAATGTTTTTTTCAGTGTTGGCATGCCACCTCCTCTGTCCCTGTCCTCTCATCCTCTCAGATAGCACACTCTCAAAACACTCAGATGCTTGATGATGGTACTGCTAGTAATGTTTCAGCAATCATACTGTGTTTTCTTTGTTTAAACACAGTGTACGCCTTTAGGAAAGGCACATTCCTTTTTCCAATAGTTTTCTTCATTCAGTACTTTATCTGTGCTGAGCTATTTCACATTTATTTGGTTATATGTGTATTTTAAGCCTTAACCAGGTAATTTAAACAGTCTCCATAGCACCACTGAATTTACCCTGATCTTTATAGAAAGCAAGCTTATGCTAATATTGTTCTCCTTTTGAAACAAAATATGGTGGGCTCTTGGTTTTCCATTTCTTCAAGACTACTGAATTTAAAATGTTATAACCAATGTAGCAGAGCATCTTGGTCGCAGTTGCTACTACAGTTCAACTACTCCTGCTTAGCACTGAAGCATGATTTGACTTTTTCTCTCATTAAGTATCAGGCAAAGTGCTAAAAGAAGCCATCATCTCTGGTGTCTAAAATGTACTCCCAGCACTGTGTTTCATTATGCAATTTATTCAGCCTTAATGGAAGTAGCAGAAATATTCCATTATTATTCTGTTCCCTACCTTTACAGCCCCTGTGACTTTGTTTAGAGGTGAATGTCACCATCCTGGTCAAGGGGCTGTTTGTATACCTGAATCCTCTGCTCTTCCCACTTGGGCAAGGAATGTCAGGGCATCTAGTTTTTGTGATATTTAATGAAACAGTTAAGCTTTCTGATCCAATACAGTATTTTTGTCTGCATTTGCAGTAGGTGGGTTTTTTCTGGATTGTACCATAATAAAGGACCATTAAACTGCACAATTTTTCTTAACTGCTGTCAACATACAGCACACTGCAGGTCAGTAAAGGTGAGTTACTACCCGCAGCAACAAACCCTGCAGTTGTGGAATCTAGCATAGAGACTCCTGCTGTCTAGCCCGTAGCCATCTCTCTTATCCACATCTGAACTGGAGAGCACCAGCTCTTTTCCCATCTGATCCACTAACATCAGGCAAGAGTGGCTGGAGCAAACACTGAAAACTATTGTGTGTGCAATGTGGTTGCTATCACAGCATCCTTTTGAAATACTGTTAGATTACACAGCAGATGGAGGGTGGGGGGTAGTATTTGGATCCTCTTTTCAAGGATAGGCTGATTTCCCCTGTAGAATGCCACTACTTAGGCTGGTGAAGGCAAAGCACACAGTTGACTTGGCAGTGACTTCGGGAGCGTGCAGGTTAAATTTTTTCAGTGTTGTGTGCACACAACACAGAAGGTAGCAGCAGTCATTATGAATGGGAGCCTGAACCTAGTTGCTGGCTCCCCCCCGAGAAAGTCACATCCCTGCCATACCTACAGCAGCTGCTGCTTTTTGGCAAAGGTACAAACAGTAAACACAATCTCACAGAGGTGCTAAAAGCAAAGAATGGATCGTTAATGCTGCCTCAGCTTGGTGAAAGGAATAAACAGACTGTAGTGTCGGATTTCTACAACTGCTCTTTCTCCGTGAGGAATAAGCCTATCCACTCCTTGCCAGCTAAACGGAGGTCAGAGCCAGCGGATGTAGCTGCCAGTAGCAGACGTGAAGAACAGTCTGGTGGGATCTGCCTGAACTAAGTAACTGGTTGCAATAAAAGCAGCTAACCACTATTGTGCCTGATGCAGATCCTCAAGTATTTTAGTTTCTTAACAGAAAACCAACATGTTTCAAACTTCCAGACAAATTATAGTTAGCCTGAAAGGGCCAATCTGTCCTTGGGGAACTGCATGGTATTGGAACTGCTGCACTGTCACGCATTTCAGCTGTGGCATGAGCCATCCCCCAGTGCCCACAATGCTGCTTTATTCCTGGAGGTTGGTTTATGCCCTGCAGAAAGTGGGCTTGAATTCTTTCAATGTTTATTTTAATTCTAATGTGACTGTAAATATCCCCTTTGCCAGTTTTCAGTGTATAATAATTTTTCCAGCTGAGTTGGCTGCTGGCTGCCAGGCCGCCCTGTGGGGACAAACTTCAGCAGCTGTGCACGCACCTCTCAGAAGGGCTCCTTTGCCTCTCACTTACTGCTTTGCTTTTCAGGTAGCACTCCCTGTCGTGACATGTTGTATCAGATGTGACTAACAATACTGGTTTCAACAGCCCTGATGCTGAGGAGGGGCAAAATACAATCATGATATACCCATGAATTTGCTCAGGTACAGGGCTAGCTGGCTTGGCAGGGAAAAACCACCTGCTTGAGAAGTCAGTTTGCTTCTTCTTTGCTCCTTCCTCATCTGTAGACACACTACAGAACAGACTGAGGGCATTTCTTCAGAGCAATGTTTGTTTTGTCAGCAGCAAGTGTATTAAACTTTGATGTGATCCAAGTCAGAAAAAAAAAAGAAAAAAATCCGCCTGCTGTTAGACTTGAAGGCTGTGTTATGGCTGTGTGCCACTTGACTATGCCCAACAGTGTTAGGCCTTTAAGCAGAATGGTCTTGATTCTCCAGAATAAAATCATTACTCTTCTGGGTCACTCCCACTGTGGGAGCGAAGCTTTTTATATTTTTCCCTAAAAAACATAAAAATCTGGGCCAGGTCCACAAAACATTTTTGAATTCAAATCTCTGGTACAAAGAAATCTAGCGTTTGCTCAAATCTACTCAGTTGATTCAAGGCTTAGGGTTTTTTCCCCCTTTTCGCTAGTCCTTTCTAGTCTCCTTCTGGATCACCTTTTTCTTTTCTACCTTTACCAGTACTGTCACAGAGGAACTCTACAAGCATCCAAAGGGATAGGGCAGCATGAAACACACTTGCATGTACAGGAGCCTATTTTTAAAATATATCTTTAAGACTGCCCAGTTCAAGTGTCCTGAGTAAACTCTCATCTGTCATTTTGCAGAAACAACAGCACAGATGAATTGTTGTTTTTATAATGGCCATGTCCAAGGGTCTGAAGCCACAGTTCATCCATGTGTGGTGTACCTCTCTGCTCTTGTGCAGGTCATCTGCTAACCCTCAACCTCTCCACACAGCAACCTCTTGTTAATGCATCTTGCTTATCAACAAAAGGAAGCGGTTTTTGGTTAGGGTTTGGGTTTGTTTGTGAGGTTTTCTTTGTTTGTCTTCCAATAATCAGAAATGGTACAAATATGTGGTGTCTTTTTTTTTGTCCTTTTTTTTTTTCTAATTGCTCTTGCTATCAAGTGGTTACACAGCCAGCTCTTCACATCTGAATTTGCTTTTGTGAGCTAGCAACACCAGCATTTACATCACCTGTGGTGTGGTGTGATAAGAAGCAGTCAAAAATCAGTCCCTCTCTCTTCATTTATACCTTAGCAATCTCATTTATATGGAGCAGAGAGCTGGAATAGCAAACATACTTCAGTGTGGCAGCTTGATTTATAAGGTGGCATAAACACACAGTGCCGCTCTGAGGCTGAAGATTATTTTAGTTTGCTGCCCCACTTCCATTAGTGTTATGTCAAGAGTTATTTAGTCAGAATTCCCTTTCATACACAGATGTGCAGTCGGAGCTCACTTTCCCAGTCCAGTGCCACCCGTCCTTGGCTCAGGCACCCACCAGGCAGGGATGAAGGGGTGATGACCTGGGGTGCTGCTGACTGCTGCACATGCTGCCTGCAGAGCATGGGCCCTCACAAACCTAACCCCCTGAAAATAACTTTATTGTTTCAGGTTGCCTCACCTGAATTCATTGACTACCTAGATTTACAGCAAGGAAAGCCATCCTTTCAAGGACAACAAATTTTTTTCCTTCTATTTCAGTGTCCTGGCTGGTCCTGAGTGAAATTTTCCCTGGTGGGATCAGAGGACGGGCCATGGCTTTGACATCTAGCATGAACTGGGGTATAAATCTCCTCATCTCCTTGACATTTTTGACTGTAACTGGTAAGATTTCTCTGTGTCCTTCCAAGTTTATATTCTCTTAGTGAGCAAAATAAATATTTCCTATACAAACAACATTGCTAAAATTGCCGCTGTGATGCCCCAGGAGCCAAGATCTCTGTTTAGGTGTTGGTGTAACCTCACCATTTCCACCACATCTGTCTACATTTTTGCTAGTAATTTCAGCCTCACAGTGCTGGCTATCAGACCACCTTGCACATCAACTCCACAGGCTGTGAAATCTAGCTCTTCAAAACACCATTGCCTTAGTAGGTTGAAAACACATAATATTTAGGATTTAGTCCTGCATCTCCCAAAGTCAATGGAAGTTCTGCTCTAGATCAGACCACAGCTTTTCTGATCAGACGTTTTTAAAGACATTCCCATTTAATTCATTCCTTTTCACAGGAATGTGCTGGCTGAGAAAACTTTCTTTAGGAAAGAATTGTCTTTGTGAAGAAAAATATTTCACATTTTAATGTGAGAAAGTAGACTACCATATAGTAGCTTCTAATGTGACAGTAATCAAAGGAAAAGGTTAAATGCTGATGCTGAAATTTATTGATTAGCAATTTTTTTCTAATTTTATATTATACATAAAGTTTTGAAAATCTTAGTTTTCAGTCTTATTCTGAGGAAAATGTGTGCTGAAAATCAAAATATATAAGGGAGTAGAAAGTCCAGAATTTCCTTTAACTCTACATTACTCTCCACCAGAGGCAGACAATCAACCCACAAAAAGTCAAGGTGGTTTTCACCCTGTTAGATATTTTTGAGACAGATTTGAAAATGAGTGTTATCTGTGTCTAAAATGGGGTTTCACATTTGTGTTTTCTTTTCTTAAAAAAAAAAATAAAGAGAGAGAGAAATAATAATAACAATAATAAAAACCCCCATCCTGAGTACTTTCTTGATTAAAACTAGGAAAAATATGTCAGGTGTCCACACTAGCACTTTAGTTAGATCAACGGTCTTCTTCAGAAGGAAACCATCCAGTTGTCCCCACTCACTGCACTTCAGTTTGCATCACAGAATTGCACTCCTGAACTGCACAGGCTTTTGGACAAAACCAAACAAGAAAATGTGTAGTGAATGCACTCCAGCTGCCAATACTTGGACCAGATTAGAGTTATTCCTAAGGAAACATCTCCAAAACCAGACAGCACAGACCTCAGGTGTTCAGCATCAGCGGTTTCACCTGAAGGTCCCCTCTTGTCATGGAGCGTTACTTGTTAGTGCACACCTCGCTGTTATCCTGGTCTCAATTTCAATGACTGTAAAGCTCCAGTAACTCTATTGGCTTAGCTGGGTCTAATCTGGATTTATGAAAGTGTAAGTACATTCTTATTCTACAACAGAAAGGCAGAATTGGAAATTCTACTGTCAGATGAATACACGTGGAGGTCACAGTGGCCAGCAGCACCTACACCTAGGTATATGATGCAGAAGAAACCAGCTGGATTAGAAGCTTCAGCTGCAACTTTTAGCCCATGACAAAACTGACAAATGTCTCAGTGGTCCGGCTTTCTTCTAGCAGGGTACAGGCGGCTGTAGCAGCCTGTTGGGTTTGCATGTGCTTTACTTTCTAGGGGCTACAGAGTTCATCCCTCAGCCTGAGGACCTACCTGCCCCTGGACTGTAGGCTCAGAAAACAGCTAGTTCTTGGATGGCCTCCTTAGGAGTTCTTGGATCACTTTCTGGCACAGGACCCATGACTTGCAGTGGAAATGCTGGGAACTGACAGGTGGGGAGGATTAACTGGAGACAACTGTTAACAGTGTAAAACATGCTTAGATTTGCTTCATGAAAGAATGTGGACCAAAACCATACAAAGGCAAAAATTCAAGGCCCTTGTGATCTGCACTGCCTTGGCACAAGCCAGTAGCAATGGCTACTCACTGTTTTTATCCAGAGTGACAGCAAGCAAAATAAATCAACAGGTTCATGCTAAGTGAATCAATATGGGCTTATCAATTTTCTTTCATAAGGAGTATAAGAAAAAGCAAAGCCACTCTTCTTTTTCGAGCTATGTGAGCTAAGAATTACAGCCTAGCTTCTTTCTAACTTCTGTGCATTAGGGGCTGTATACTATAAAATACAGCAAGAGAAACAAAAAATGCAATATTAGAAAATTTAAAAAGACATGTTTTCTTCCTTTGTAGAGCTCATTGGCTTGTCCTGGGTGTGCTTCATTTACACAATAATGAGCCTAGCGTCCCTGGCTTTTGTTATTGTGTTTATACCAGAGACAAAAGGATGCTCTTTGGAGCAAATATCCACGGAACTAGCTAAACAGTAAGTACCAAGCATGTGACCGTTTAGTACCAAGCATGTGACCTCATTCCTCAGGTGCCAGAGGGACAAACCCTTTCAATGCCACATGCTAAAAGAAGAAAAAGGAAACTGGGGGGCAGGGGGGGTTAAGGAAAAATCAGATTTTCTCAGGGCTTGAGGTTGCACATATTGATCTCAGCAGCCAAGCAAACATTTTGTTGCAGCTGAAGGACTGGCCCTAAAGGGATGGTGGTTTCCAGCACCCCTGTGAGGAACACCTGCAGCCAGACCTGACTTCCCAGCACTTCTGCTGTCTGGCATTCCTGGAGAGGACGGCAACATGATCTTGCATTTAAGGCTGTGTGTCTTGGCTTGAATGCAGAAAAAGGGAAGGAGAGGCACCCTATCTCAAATACTTCCATGAGAGTTTTGATAACTCTTCTAGATGGACATTTTTTGGTGCATATACTGAGTGCCATGGCTCTGTAGACTCTACAAGCTTATATACAAAAAAGGTTCTTTCAGCACAAGTATTGTGTCCCCAGCTCACCACATAAAAAGGGTAGAAGAGCAATGAGAGGGAGAGAGTGCTGGTGATGCAAATGTCATGTGTCTGTTCCTTTAATAAGACCCATTCTAACTGGTTTTGTGTCTTTTGACTCACCTGTCTGTTCTTATCCCTCAGAAATAGAGTGGCCCTTGAAATTACATACATTCAACTGCGCTGGTTTAAGAACAAACCAGCGGGAGAAATGAATCCAACTCGAGAATCAGAGTTACAATTTACTAAAAAGATTACAATAAGTACAACGATACAGGAAAAACTGGTTTTAACCCCCAAAGACAGATACATAACCCAGTGATACATAACCCCAACACTGTTCATTAGCCCCTGTGCTGAGCACCATGTGGCCCCACTGGGTGCTAAGTAAAAGGAAAGAAAAACCTGTTGGTCTGGATGCTATTCACAGTCCTGTTGAAATAATGGTCACAGTCCTGTTGAAGTTTTGGTCCTCCTCTCAATCTGACAAGTGGTACCAGAAGTCTCAAAACCTGAAGTTTATATATGCTCAAGTTCAGGTGGGAATGCCCAGTACGTCCCCGAAGATGGGGAGTTTCACAACGGGTGATTTAACTCTGTGAGTCATGGAAGATTTTTGGAATCTTTGATGGTGTAGGTACTGCAGCTGCCTGTTATGCCCGTCTATTGTGACCCATTAGCAGAGATGACCCCTCAGGCTGGGTGTGAAGGTGTGAATGTCTTTCCGGAGGGGAGTTATCGCAGCTCAGTCATTGGTGTGAAAACAGAAGAACACTCCCCTACCTCAAAGGGTTTCTTTAACACCCAGCTTGTAGCCTGAGGCGTCAGGTGTGCCCTGGGCAGCTGCTGCAAACAACCCATTTATTAAGAGTCCATCAGAAATTACATAGAGGGTATAGAATACACAGTTTTGGTTATACCCACGTAGCAATAAACTGGTCCCAGCCCTTGTAACTAGGACATGGGCTGCTGATATGCATGCTGTTTGCTTATAATCTCTAAATGCAGGTGTCTTTGACTATAAATTAACCATCAATTTTTACTATCAATTTGCTACTGCCCCCATTCTTTTCAGTTGTTTTTTTGCCATTAAAAATTATAGAAAACGTTTAAGTAGCACTGTTTTTTAAAATGCAGCACTCTCCCGATATGTTCAAAAAGCTGTTCTACAGAAGCTACTTGCTTTCTTGGACTAATCAGAGAAGTTATCAGCATAATGATTAAAAGGATAAAGAAGTAATGGGGAAAAATTATGGACAAGATTTTTGCAAGGCTGATGGCTTGGGGTGACAGAGAGTCAGACCTCACCACAGCTGGTGGCATACTTGTACAGGCAAGGCATCATTCCCGGGTTCATCCACACACCTGATGGGGCAATGCAGACTCCTTCACTCTCTCCCTGCTGACAGGCTGCCAGCAGGCTATTGCACCTTGAATCCTGTGTCCAGTTCTGAGCCCTCCAGTACAAGAAAGACATTGAGGTGCCAGAGCATGTCCAGAGAAGGGTAACAGAGCTGGTGAAGAGTCTGGAAAGTCATACGAGGAGCAGCTGAGGGAGCTGGGGTTGTTTAGCCTGGAGAAAAGGAAGTTCAGGGGATACCTTACTGTTCTCTACAACTACCTGAGAGGAGGTCGTAGCCAGGTGGGGGCAGTTTCTTGCCCCAAGGAACAAGCGACAGGGCCAAGAAGAAACGGTCTCAAGTTGCACCAAAGGTGGTTTAGATTGGTTGTTAGGAAAAATTTCTTTACTGAAAGGGTGGTAAGGCATTGGAACAGGCTGCCCTGGGAAGTGGTGGAATTCCTGGAAGTGTTCAAAAGTTATCTAGATCTGGTAATTGGGGACATGATTTCATAGTGAAGATGGTGGTGCTAAGTTAACAGTTGGACTCGATTTTGGAGGTGTTTTTCAATATGAACTATGCTATGCTTCTATATCCTTTTTTTGACAGTGGAAGTAATTAACATGTGAACAGCTTAGTGTCATCCTGTAATTGAATTTTCCAGATTACAAGAGAATTTTTTTCTAAAGAGCACGCTGCAACTCAGCCAGGCTTGAAGGAGGTTGTTTATGGACTAATTAGTCTATGCACTAATCACTGTGCTGCCGGAGGCCCCGGGCTCTCCCTCGCAGCAGTCACTGCTCCACGGACCGGGGAATTGGCATTTCTCGTCCAGCCTGCGCTGCGTCCCCCGCGCCCTCTCTCCCCTCCTCTTAAAAAAAGGCTGGCGAAGCTGGAGCCGCGCTGAGGGGGTGCTGTGGAGGGAGCCGCGGGGGTGTCGCCGGCGGGGCCGCCCCGGGCGGTGCGTGCGGCGGGGCCGCGCCCGCGCGGGCAGGCGGGGAAACGGCGCGGGCCGCTGGAGCCCCCTGGGGCTGGGCCCTGTGCGGCTTTGCTGGGGTGACCTCGGCCTGCGGCCGCCCTGCCGGGTCCCCCCCGCCCTCAGGGAGAGCGCTCTGTCGGCTGCAAGCAGTGGCAAACCTGTGCGGTTTTTTGTGCTTCTGCAGGAAATACGTGAGGACGCCCTTGTGCGGGGTGAGCCACCGCAGAGAGAAACTGGTCCCGGAGGAACTTGCCAAGAGAGAGAAAGAGCAGCTCTGCTAGACCCAGGGCAAGCAAAGGAGCCTTTGCCAGAAGACTGATTAAAAAAAAGGAAAACGTTCAGCGATCTTCACACACTGATGGAACACATGGTATCGTTATAATACATAAAATATTATCTCTTTCATTTCTTGGTAGAACTTCTTTTACTGGCAGTTTACAGCCAACGTTAAAGATTGCTATAGTTTATAACTAACTGGAAGTCTAGATTCTGTCTGTTTCAAAGCAGCATCACTCAGTTCCCCTGAGGTTAAGCATATCTTATATAGAGAAAATGAATGGAAATTGGAACATTGCACACAGTTTTCGTTATCCATATTCAGTAACAGTTCAGTCTGGAAGAGGTGCAAAGAAGAACTGGAGTGCCAAGGAAAAGGAAGAGTCTCACAGGAGGAGCCCACCAAAGACAGGTCTGTTTAGGCTAGCAGAAATGGGGCTGAAAAAGGTTAACAACTCTCTGTCAGTGCTTTAGAGAAGACGGTGCTGTGGAGCAAAAATGGACAACCATGGAGTGCAACGGATGACATTAGTGCAGAACAACTGGATATGAACTTTCAGTAAGTGAATTTAGAATTCAGCTTAAAGAGACGGAAAAGGATCTTGTTCATCTGAACTTCATTATTTATAACACAGGAGCATGCTCAACTTACAAGAAGAACTTTACATACAGTTTCTCAGGAGGGCCAGGATTCGGTGACCTAGGAAATACTCCTCAGAAAACATAGTCAGATTGTTTAACGTGGGACATTAAATGCATTGTTCTCTACAACTACCTGAAAGGAGGCTGTAGCAAGGTGCGGTTCAGTCTCTTCTCCCAGGTAGCTAGCGACAGGACAAGAGGAAATGACCTCAAGTTGCGCCAGGGGAAGTTCAGGCTGGATATCAGGAAGAATTATTTCACTGAAAGGGTTAAACATTGAAACAGGCTTCCCAGGGAGGTGGTGGAGTCACCATGTCTGGAAGTGTTCAAGAAATTACTGGACATGGCACTTAGTGCTGTGGTTTAGTTGACATGATGGTGTTTGGTCAAAGGTTGGACTCAATGATCTTGGATGTCATTTCCAACTTTCATGATTCTATTATTTGCATAATCAATTATTCTAAACTGAAGATGGCCTTAAAGAAAAGGAGATAGGATTTCTTTAGCCTCCCAGTTCCATGAAAGTTAGAAACTGAAGGTAGAGAGTTGATGCCAAAATCATTTTATTTCTCAACACAGGCCACGCTACACTTTGACTTTTGGATTCAGAAAGTGGAAATTGTACGGTATGTAGCAGCACAAAGGGAGTTCAGGAACGGTAATCACTGCAGATCATAAATTACGTCAAATTCTTGCTTATTGCTTAGCAAGTGCATTCTGAAGTACTCGACAAGCCTCTACAAAGGGTTATCCATATGGCTTCCATAAAAGAACATCAGTCTTTTTTTCTTAGCAGGTTAATAGATGTTGTTAGAGCGATCAGTAGATAAATATTTATCAGCAAATAAATAAATGGTTCTTTGTTTTTTTAAAAAAAAGCATGCTTTGAAAGCATGTTGACTGTCTCAGTAGCCACAAAGCAGCATTTCTTCCAGAATGTAATTGAGAAAGCAAGATTGACACTGTCAACTGGAGTGCAGATACTACTTTGAACTAAACATGTTCCCACTTTATTTGCTGTCTCATAGCATTAAAACCACAGTGATTTACTGACGTAAGATTTTACTTCTGAGTAGAGCAGATCAGGTCTGATCAGATACTCACATGGTTGCACTTCTAGATACTGCCATCACAAATTTATAGGAGCATGAACAGTGAACTTATGTTCAAAACCTGAAAACAAACTATTGAAGCCAAGGCCGTGATTTGCCAGAAGTCACTGAAAATTTAGCTACCTCAGGATGGGAACCTATTGGCCAAATCTCTACCACAACTTCCCTTCATCATAAGCTTTAAGGGAACCAGTATTGAAACCCTGTTGGACTTCTGGTATAAAAATCAGGTAAGTGTCCTTTGGACCTGGGGGGCATCAGGCAAAGCGTGGACAGCTGGTCAAGGGAGGGGATTGTCCCGCTCTACTCTGCACTGGTGCGACCTCACCTGGTGTGCAGTTTTGGGCACCACAATATAAGAAAGATATTAAGCTCTTAGAGAGTGTCCAAAGGAGGGCAACAAAGATGGTGAAGGGCCTTGAGGGGAAGCCGTATGAGAAGCGGATGAGGTCACTTAGTCTGTTCAGCCTGGAGGAGACTGAGCGGAGATCTCATCACAATTTACAACTTCCTTGTGAGGGGAAGAGGAGGGGCAGACACTGATCTCTTCTCTGTGGTGACCAGTGACAGGGCCCGAGGGAATGGCCCGAAGTTGTGTCAGGGGAGGTTTAGGTAGATATTAGGGAAAGGTTCTTCACCCAGAGGGTGAAGTGGTTGGGCACTGGAACAGGCTCCCCAGGGAAGTGGTCACAGCACCAAGCCTGGCAGAGTTCAAGAAGTGTTTGGACAATGCTCTCAGGCACATGTGATTCTTGGGGATGGTTCTGTGCAGGGCCAGGAGTTGGACTTCATGATCCTTGTGGGTCCCTTCCAACTCAGAATATTCAATGGTTCTGTGAAGTAGTTATCACAATGCAGGATTTTTAACTGTGCAGATCCCATGTTATCTAAACCAAGTGAAACTGAATTGCTAGGCCACTGGCTAGCCGGTGAGATTACGGCTGCTTTATTTTTTCTGTCCTGATCCTAGACCCAGCAGTTCTCACAACTACATCATGGATGTCACAAGAAGGGCTGATGTCACGGATGCTTATGATAGTATACCTATCAAGCAAGATAGGCTCAACAAGATGCAGTTTTTGGCATGCACAACATACCAAAGATTAAGTACAACCTTCTCATAATCTTCCATGTGAGCTATTTTGCCACAATCTGTAAGCAACTAGATACCAACATACCAGGACACATGGACAGACAGTGGGGCTGTGCACCTGAGATGTAGGTAACTCAGACTGAAGGCCCTATAGGAAGCA